AAGAAATGTATCAATATATTGTAAAGAAGTACAAATGCCTATAAAATAGCATCACTCAAACTCGCGTTCATTTCAAGATCTTCAATTATAAATTAACTTTTCCGAATTGAAACATCAGGTCAGTGGAGTTCATGGACGTCCAGTTCGTGTAGAATTTGCAAAAACCGCTTACCGTGCGATAATACCTAGTAAGCAATATCGAAAGGTAATGGACAATCTCATTGCGTTAAATTGCAAACCTAGCATCGATTCCGAATATAATTAGTACTCGAGTCGATAAGTACTGTTTTTTTCAAGCCTTGTATTGCGTTGTGTTTTATTTGGCAAGCCATTATGTGCTTTTCCTTTGCTGACCTGCCATGTGGCAAACATTTTATCTACGATTTTTTCATTCAATCAACAAATGTCAAATTTCATCTGAAAACTGTCTTGACTCTTCATTTGGGGATGGATATAGTTAGGTGGTGAAATGATCACAACCTCTCGTCGAAAAGCCAAGCGAGTATCTGAGTTAGGACCTATCATCTGAGTTGCGACAATATCGTTCCTTTAACGTTGCTGTCATGCATAGGTATATTTTCATTATAGAAATCGGGTCTCAAAAATAATAACTGATGTCTCTATAGACAGATAGTCAGACGGCCATTCAATCTCTAACATGCAATAAAATCAGATCAAAACTGGTCTGGGATTGCCTTCAAAGCCTGCTAACCCTGGCTAACCACAACAAGGTAACTCTTCAATGGGTGCCAGAGCATAAGGGAATTGAAGGCAATGAAGCAGCTGACGCTCTTGCTAGGCAAGGATCTGCGACGTTGTTTATGGGACCGGAACCTGTGTTTGGTATCCCCGAAACCTCAATACGCGGCTGGCTGGCAAGGTGGGTGCAAAAAAGACATCAGGCATACTGGAACAATGTCCCAGGACAAAGACACAGTGAACTGATGGTTGGAACACTGTCCAAAACAGTGACTAACGTCATTCTGAGCCTAAACAGTAGTCAGATCAGACAAATGACGGGACTAATAACCGGTCACTGCCCCTTGAGGAAACATATGCATCAAATGGGCATCTATACAGACGAACCTATATGCAGACTATGCAATGAGGAGGAGGAAACTGCCACCCATGTAATATTGGAGTGCGAAGCACTAGCGCGTTGGAGATACAACCTTCTGGGAGCAGTAAACTCTCAAGAGGCCTTTTCAAAGAATGATTTGATGAAGAGGCTGCTAAACCTTATCAAGGTAACGAACTTGTTCACCTTAGTAACAGCATGATCAGGAATACAATTGGCCCAAAGGCTGCAGTCTTTCGGGCTTCGAACCCTGACTGATCATTCTGCTATTAATCAATCAATAAATCAGTAGACATCCATAATGAATTATTCTTCATACAGTTCCGTCAAAACTGAGTATCATTGATCATTTTCCAAATTCTCCAAATCTTCAGAAACCTCAATATATTGAAACCTAGAAGTTAACGTACTCTAAAAATTCCATACTGATCACATTGACAAAACGCAATGTATACCTTGTCATTCGCAGAGCTCAGCTGAAGGCTTCTCTATAGAAATATAAATATTCCGCATTGTCAGGTGTCGCATTGTTCCCGAAAGCCAGGCTTAATTGGCGGTTACCGGTGTATTATTCAGGTACGTCGCGACGCTGCAAGACGTCGCTTTATTGGACGCCGACGCCTATTGGACCGATGAGATATTTACGACGCCTGCTGTGGACAGATAGGGGCATGGTGTTTTTCTATATCGTACTGTTCGATTCCATATACTAGACAAAAAATAAAGAGAGGTTGATGTAGGTATAAATCCGAATCGGCTTCGGTATAACAATGCTGACTTACGCGTTTCTTGGGGATTCAAACTGTTTCAGTTTTTTTGGCGACTCAGGGCCGGGATTGCGAAAATAGAAATCCTTCGGATGGAACTCTATATACATAACGCGAATGACGTTTATCGACGGAAGATTTCCAGATGTTTTGAAATTGTTAATAATCCTACTAATTTACAAGAACAATGGTTCTTGCACGGATTATTCCTACTTAATCAGTTTCCTGAGATTATTGAATATTGTTTTCATCAACGCTCATATAATTATTTCGAAACAGTCAGATTATTTTAATCCAGTCAAAATGGTTGAAAAAATAAATCTACTACTATGACTGCAATTGATCAGCTTATTAAACATGCACTTGAACTTTGGGCTTATTTTTTGACGAGAGCGAAGAATTCGATCTTGTTGACCATGATATATTGTTGCATAAACTACAGATGTATGGCATAAGGGGCTCTGTATTCAATTGGCTAAGGTCATACCTAGCTGGTCGTAGTCAGGTGGTCAGTGTAAATTAGACGTATTCGACTTCAAGCTGCTTTCTGATTGGAGTTCCCCAAGGCTCTGTCCTAGGACCACTCTAATTTTTAGTTGTCATTAACGATCTTCCCAACTCCTGTACGGAAGCTTCAATCACTGTGATTTTTTTTGTTGATATTATATTAATGGAGCCTGAGAAGTTACAACTCAAATTTCTGAGTGGTGTTCTCTAAACGGATTATTGCTGAATACTGTCAACTCTCAAATTCTCAACTTTGCAACAAAAAAATTAAACTATGGATGAAAGCTATCTGTTCAAAATAAACAATGAGACGATCCATCAAGTTAATTATACAAGAGTCTTGGAGGTCACTATTGATAATAAGCTAACCTGGAATAATCATATTGATAGTGTTGAACTGAAGCTCAGTAAACATATATATCTACTTGGTCAATTGAGACAAACAGTTTCTTTCGATGTTCTCAAACTTCTATATCACAGTTTGAATCAATCTGTCATAGCTTATGGTATAGAACAATGGGGTTCATCTGCCAAATCTCCCGAAGTAACTGTTATACAGAGGAGAGAAATAAGAATTATGGCATGTGCATCATCCAGAGATCATTGCAGGCCATTATTCATACATTATGATATTTTAACAATGCCTAATTTAATAATATATCAGGAACAAATTCATGATCATTTCACTAGGAACTTTTTCAAATTCTAATCTTGATACCGAATTTTGGGGATCCCGGGTTCGTATCAATTTGATCCCGGAATTCCGGGATTGTATAATTACTCCGGGATTGCAAAACTTACACAGAACTGAAACTGTGGCGGTTGATTTCGATATTATCATCCCTCATTAGTCGTATTCAATCGAAAGGGTAAAAATGGGTGCGAAAGCTATTACCGGTCCCCGATAAAGTGGGATAGGGGGGGAAGGCGTTTCGGAAATTGGTTCGGGGGGAATTCGACGCCATTATTTGCGTATTAATTTTTTGCCGCGCGATTTTTCTTCAAACAGACACATAATTGGAGTTAGCTCTCAGGAAATCGATTTCGCAAGATTTTTCCATCCGAAGTCAAATAGAAAAGCGACAATGAAAATTTCCGGAACAGGTTCAATGGAAATAGACGGTGAATAAACGCTTTCAGCGATTATTATTTGCTGAATCTAACAGCTTCTTCCAGTCATCTGGAACTGGACGAGTTATATTGAAGCTAGCATAGTAGTATATTATTCAACGAGCGCATAATGATGGCAATTACCCACGAAGATGTGTAATCTTCCTAGTGAGTAATAGTCATCAGGTGCGAATAGTATACTATACTTTATCTCCAACTATTCAAATATCAAAGCAACTCTGAGAGTTCAGAAATATATCTTAGGAAATAATGAAGGTGAATATATTGCAAAATCACTTAATCTGTTTGAAATACTCATCAAGTCGACAAAAATTTCAATCAACGAAAAGCTTATTACTCATTTCAATAATTTTGATTGTGAAAATATGATAAACAATGTTGGATCTAACTTTTATTGACAGGAAAAAAGTCGTGCAATCACATATTAGTCAATCTTAACAGGTATCATATGCCATTTCTCTTTTCAGTTGTAAAATAAGGAGGATTTCCCCATTGCGATGATAAACTGTAGTACCCTGTCTCTAGACGTTAGTTATCAACAATGAAGTTCCATGATTCTGATTGGTCTGCACTAATCTATTCGAATAGCCCGCACATAAGAGTGAGCCAATCTGCAACTGTCAAGTGTCAAGTCCTAATTTATGGTTATGGTTACTCATGATGGTAGTCACTGTTGAGAATGAAGAACAGTGAATTCTCATTTTCCCGTGTATTTGTAGAATTGAGGTGATTGAAACTATGAGATAACCATGTAAGGTGAGTCTTTCGAGATTGCGTGTATTTTACAAATAGACGTATAGTGGTGTGCTTTTGTAGAACTAGTAGAACGAAAACCTAACTAGTTGAATTTGACAAGACTATGGGATGTCAGATTATTACGTCATTATACTGTCATTATTACTCGATTCATCACAATAATGCTTGTCATTCAATGTTGAAGCAATGTATATGAATGACTCCATAGTTGTAGGTGAAGGTATTCTTTACACCACTAGCTATAAAACCTCTAATTACTCACTCTTTTTCGAGGCGAAAAGTGTGTTTTTACTACCAAAGTAATTAGTTTTTGTCATTTTATGAACCACTAGTCAATGGAAACATCGTCACCTCTTGTAGTTGACCCGGATTCACTGTCCTGATGCGAGATTCGCAGGAATGTGCACTCGAATCTAGTAATTTCAATCAATAACGGATTGGCATATGCTGTCATAGTCATGACTACTAGATTTCAATTAGAATTCGAAAGAATTGGTGACAGTAGGTCCATATTACAGTTTCACAGAACTATAATGAATGAATTATAATGCTAATGGTGAAGAAAATATGATATACACCTTGGTAGTGGAGAATACTATCATCAAGGGACCAGGGATATACTCACTCCCTTGGTGTTTAGATAACCATTCTTCGTTGATAGTTATCAAGACAGGAGGAGGTGGAATCAAACACTTCAGCGAACAACAGGATGATCAGATTATTACTTTAATCCCTATACAATAATTCAAAAATACATCGATGATATGTTATGACGCCTTCAAGTAGTATTTTCTCAATCATGGTAGGAAGTATTTCTAAAACAATAAGATTATGTGATGAAGAAGTTCAGCTAGAGTTGAGTGAGAAAATCATGTGTTCCCCTCCAGCCATTTCCTTCAGGATTTCAACGTATATTATTGGAGATTATGGAAGGAAGAGAAGTAGAGAAGAATATCATCCTAACCTTATTTATATTGAGGTTAGCATCATCTTCTTCTAATTTTGTGAGCATCCATGATAAATGTTTTCATTACATAACGTTGGAACCTTGAAGTCAGGTTAGGTTAGGTAACAGAAGGAGGAGACATATTCATTCCCCCCCCCCCATCATACTGGCTGATATGAATGACATAATATCAGAGCAATAACAATATAATGTATTCTCTACTATGAACAAATACGTTTTAAGGAAAGGATCGATTTGTTCTCACCTCTGGATTACACATATACATGCATTTGGTCAACTCATATGCAGCAACACATTTGTCATCTAAGGTTACAGCTAGAAAAAAAAACACATAATACAAAATTTACTAATCTGGTTTCTTTATAATATATTTGGATGTTTCATTTTCCAAAGTCTTTTGAGTTTCTCATAAACAGAATATTCAAAATGCATTTTCTCTCTCTGGATAGATACTCATAAGTTTTTGTTCTTGGAAATATTTAATATTTGAACACCAGCCAAAACATAATTCAGCATCAGAGCATTTGTGAGGATGAATAGATATCAATCTTTGGTGAAGGTCCATATTGCTCAAAGTGGAATGGTATTGTGAAAGGAAAGAAGGAAAGCCCGGAATCGTTTCCACGCAATTGGCACATAGCAAAAAGTCAATCGTCTTCTAAATTTCCTAAATTCTTCACACCCAGTTTCCTTCTTGTCATCCTAGTCAACACAAATTAGCAGCTTTCTACTCCTTATTCCATAGATTGTTCAACATACCTATGACCCCAGAAAATGTCAATACAGAATTAAATATTATCGAACAAATTGCATGAAATGATGGTTTTCCACCACACATTATCAACAAGACTTACAATAAACACCATGAGAAAGCAATCAATAGACGTTTATTTACTTTACTAAATTCTAGGACATGTTTTTCATCTATTCTTCTCCTTGGTTAGGTCTCAAATAGTATCAAAAACATTTCTCATCGATATAGTGAAGATATCCTTTTCCACGGTTGATGATATCACGAAATATGTTGTTAACACTGGATATATAGTACTACTGAATCATAAATCTGGAGTTCATTGTATTTCCTCTTCATGTCCAAGCTGTAACGCTCAATATGTTGGACAAAGTGGTAGGAAGATTTCAACAGAGTAACGGATCATCAATTCATCATTAATTTGATATTTAGATTGATCATCAATAGGTTACGCTTTAATAAAGACCTTTTGGAAAATAATTTTTCTTCGAAAATGATGATTGTTTTATGGGAAATCGATATCCCGACTGAAAATTTTCAAAATACTTTTCACAATTCCAATTGAGTGAACCAAATATTTCAAATTTCGTGACACCAATCCAGTTTGTATTTTAGAACTTTCAATGAGGCTGAAAATGGTGTTTCATAAGATTGAAACATGCCTTTGATTGTTTAACATCTCAATTAAACTGAGTGTAGACGATTTCGAGCTTTTCTTTCATTCTTTGATGAATAGATATATATGATGATTGAGCTTACCAGCATCTTTACACTTCTCCATGCAAATTTTTGTACTTTCTTTGTAAGATTCTGGCAACTGTTTGAGTTGGTTCAATGCTGACTCATAATTGAATGTATTATCTTTGTTTATCTAGAAAATTTCAAAACATCAATCGATATCACCATTCAAGATTTTATCAGAAAATGCTATATCGGAAGTTTTTTTTTCTTGGAATAGCATTATTTTCTACCAGTATGTCATAGAAGACCCTATATACAGAATGATTCAGTTCATAAACGTCATAAAAAAAACCCCAATTCAACTGTATAAAAATCACTCGTGTGGAATTTTCAGTATAATCGATAGTATCGATATTTCAATTTTTTTCCTGAATCATCGTCGTATTATATCGATAAATTTGCCCACCCCTGGTCAATACTCACCAACTTATACATATTCAAGGCGCAATGCATGTAACACTGAAAAAAAAGTGATGAGTACTTTCCATTAGATAGAATAAATGCTGTTTACCATTGCAGTGTGATCGATGTTCCAATCTCCCTTGTGCATTTTATCAATGTCCTCTGAAATTGAAAATATGTCGTAGAAATCCAGAGAAAAATAAATTAAAAACACCAGTGATACAACAACCATCAGTGAAACAATTCACAGGACTGGATGAAAAATGGTAGAGGAAACATTCAATTTATCTGAAACCATTATCATCACTTCGCATTTCGTAATCAATAAAGAACGACTATTATATCAGACTGACAGACTTCACAGAGCAAAGTTTGAGACTACAAGAATTCATGAAGGTTCAAAATTTTTTCAGTCAGTCATATAGTCATTTCGAAACAGAAAGCAAATTTTTAACGTTTGACAATACAAAGTATATTGTTTGCGGATGGTGAAAATAAGCCGAATCTATAGACTCAAATGTTCCAAAATCGTAAGCCAAGAATGTGCAAAACTAGGATATCAATTTGAACCTGCTGAAGTTGCATCGGATTTTGAGAAGTCTCTTCATCTATCCATAAGATTCATGAGGCCAGAAACAAAAATTATAGGATGCAGATTTCATCTAAGTCAAGCTTGAATTAGAAAACTCCAAAGTTTAGGTGTTATACGATTTCTTGCACCTGTTTAAAATTGGCGCAACTGGGCTATGCCCCATGGTTCATTAGTAATGACCCTTTGAGACATGATTCAGATGAGATACCGTGTATAAGTATCACGTGGTATCACCTTATCAAGAGAGCAATGCAAAATTCATACCATCTGTAGCCTTAGATTTGGGCATGCAAACATTCCTCACCACCTTTACAGCGGCTTTCATCTGTTTCTCGTTTAACTGAAAAATTTTCAAATCTATAACAAAGCACTTGGATAATTTGCATAAACAGGGTGTCCCAAAATTACATCGAAATATTTTAATCACGAATTCTAGGAACAAGAAAAGTGAAGGAGTTTATGTAAACATTGGTCCAGAAATGCCACTTGGAGGGTTAGTGCTATCTGAAGGGAGCCCAAGATGATGTTCATTTTTGTAAATATTTTCGGAACCCTCTGGGATAGAATGGGGTTATTTCGAACTATTCTCAGTTTCTATGCCCGAATTGGAAAATGTTAATAGAAATGATTGTCAGTGGCGTGGAAAATAGGTTGGGCTTGAAGCATTACTTCCCACAAATTCTTTTTTCAATGCAATTTTTGGCATTTTCACCAGGAAATATGAAAAGAAAACCATTTTTACCTAAAAATGAAACACTTGTTTAGTTATGATAGCACTCTCCATTCTCAAGATGAATTGATTCATCTATTCCAAATTTTCCCAAATAGTAATTCACGTAAAAAGTTCGGAAAATACTGTTTTCTTGGACGAGTAGACAATATTCTAAGCCGAGCCGTAGGCGAGTCCTGGAAGTTTGCGAATCCAAAAAAACTGTTTTTGGACGTGTGGAGTACACTATTTTTTTGACAACCATGTAGAATTACAAATCGATGAGACACATTTCCATATTATATTTGTTTGTAGAATACAATTTCATTCTCATTTGTATCAAATACTGACATTTGAACAGAATACCTATACCTACTAACTGTTATGGACATTTTCAAACTCACTATCGCACCTGCTTTTGATAGTTTATTATGATAATTGCAACGAAACTTCCAAAAATGAAACTGTCAGCTCTCAGCCGATATTTCGCTGTATTGGTAGGTAATTATCATCTGCATTTATCAAAACCATATCTACCAAGATTTTCATAGTCACAGTGACAACAACGATGTGATACTTCCCTAGTCCCTAGTCCCTAGTCCCTATTTCCTAGTCCTCAGTCCGGGAAGTGAAAAAATAGTTTTTTGATGAAAAATACATTTTTCTCAACATATTCTTGTGGCGTTCGACTCAAAATATGAGAGGAACAATAGAAAGAGTATTTTGTAAAATATTATAGTATAGGTACCTAATCTACTACTACTATTTTTACTCCAGCAGACTATTAAAATCGATTTTTCTCGGAAATGGCGGGTGCTATCAAAACTAAACCAGAGTATAATTTCCACAAGAAAATTACGATATTCTCATATTTCCTGGTCCAACTGTCAAAAAATACATAGGAAAAAGAATTGGGAGAAGAAAAGCCCCTAGCCCCACCTATTCCCCACGCCCCTGATGAAAATTCCATGGAATTCTCAATATTCCCAAATCGGGCATGAACAGTAATGTATCTATATGAACTTTTCTGACTATTTATATTCCTAGAATCTATGGTTGAAATCTTTCTATGTAATTTTGGGACACTCCGTATATTTCTCAACTCACCCCTGTAACATTGAAGACGATGAATGAAACTAATACTATCAACGTAAGTTTGAGCTTACACATATTTCTGTTTTCATGAATGAACTACCGAAATTCGCGAAACAATGAATGAAACATGAACATTTGATTGGTTTTAGTTATCTCAGCTTAGTCCTTCATCAACTAGTTATATGAAATGCATATGAATTAATTAAATTATCAGGTTTTCCAATTATGAACTGAGAAGATTAATTACACGACATTATGAACCTCATCGAATTATACGTTGGGTAATTATTGACTATATCTCACGTATCTCCATTATTAGATGGGCTTCAAATTGAATAAAAATTATATAGGGAAGGTTCAAGACCAAGCAATATCAGTATAATAATGAACTGTTATTTTTGTGATTTGTGAATATTTTCTCAAATCAGATGTTGATGATGGCCAACTACTGATACGAACATAAAATGAAAATTGCAGCTCTTTACTAACTCCAGAAACTTTGGGAAATAATACACATTCTAGATTCAGCATCAGTTTTGGACCCCTTTGGTGAGGTTGAAAAAATGGTGAATATTTTGGAAAATACCTCTCAAATAATTTGACCAAATGAAAATTCTCAATCAAAGGTTGAACCTCAATAATATTGAGGGTATGATTCAGACAAAATGTTATGATTTCATTCCAACACAAAAATCATGAATGCCCTTGAATCAACCGAAGGTTTAATCTTTTATACTTCAGAAATCGATGAAACTCAGTTACTCAGAAGAAAATGAAACTGGAATTCACTGAAATCTGGACTATGAAAACATTGACTCAATTCTGAGTGCTTTCTACTCATTCAAGTACTCATCCCAACTGAGCTCGAAACATTATTGACTGAAGTTTGAGTACACTTTCATTAACTTTTGTTTCACTGTGTATAACTAGTAGGAATGGATGTAGCTCAACCATTATCCTTCAACTTTTCGTTCACGTATTTGTACGTTCCTTGTCTTGCATCAATTTTCTCAAAAAGGATTATTGTTTACCCTCAACTTCACCTAGCCTCCATCTACACTGATTAATCGAGTTTTGAGCAAGCGAGCTGCTGGAAAAAAGAAAGGGCATGACGAGAATTCTAGAGAGCGATAGTAACAATTTTCATTTGATAAAATCATAGACGAATAACGGAGTGATGTATCACAAAACGATCAATTCCCTGAAAGAAACATTCAATTGTGTTAGTCAGTGGGACCTAGTTCGAAAAATATTTCAAGGAGAAGAAAAATAGAGGAATATTGGAGATATGAAATGTTACTTATTTTTGGAAGTTTCGGGGTGGATGTGCTCCCGTTTTCAGCAACAAAATGGGGAGTTACGGGATGATTTCGTTTATTCATAAATTAGTCATTTCCATATTCAGATTTGAAGAACGAACACTATGTTCTATCACGATAATAGTAATAAAGTTTGTTTGAAAATAATGTAATCAACAATGTTTATAGAAAACAGGAAACGGAATCTTTGAAACTCAACCATGAATCTGTGATTAGGGGTCTATAAAAGAAAATTGGCATCGTTCAAGTTTGAACCCCCGGATGAGAACAATTTTTTCATCAGATTTAGAATGCAAATCCTCAATTCAATATCTATTAATGTTCAATATGGAGAAAAAGTTTTATTCTGAATCCAAGAGTATGTCCCTGGAATATTTTTTTTGTTTTATGTACTGGTTCCCACGGAAAAAGATATCCTGTAATGTTCAGAGAACATCGTGAGAACCAAGGGAAATAAGGTAGGAATTAGTGTTATTCTTGCATTTGTAGAGGTTATATGCCTCGGGGAACAGCTCCCTTGACAATGTGTTCCAGAGCCTTGCTGTTTGTTGGATGAACGAGTCTTTGGAAAAAAATGTTCTGCAGGTCTCCAAAGTAACCACGAAGGGGTGCGAAGCCTCAACTCGACGGGTTAATCTCGCGGGGGCTGCCAAGGGAGGAACAATTGTTGATATTTCAGAAGAGCATCGTCCATGGAAACATCTATAAATTTGAGCCAGATCGACAACTTTTCTACGGTATTCCAGAGGAGCGAGTGAGTTTGTGAGCGAGGCATCAACCACGAGACGAATTGCCCTTTTTTGGACAGAATCCAACAGTTTCAGGGTATGTTTGGTTGCTGCACTCCAGATATGGGAAGAGTATTCCAGGACAGGTCGAATCTGTGCCTTATAGATCATAAGTAGCTGAGTGGAAGTGAAATAGCTCCTGGCCCGGAACAGAAAACCAAGTTTCAAGGATGCACTTTCAGCAATTGATCTCACCTGATTTCCCCGAGAGAGGTTGATGCTGATAGTAAGTCCAAGCATCGAAATGGATGTCTTCATACTCATGGTAACTCCTGGCAAGCTCATGTTAGGCACAGTGAGATCGGCTTTTCTATACAAAAGGCATGCTTGTGTTTTGTTTGCATGGAAATCTACCAAGTTATTGGATTCCCATTCGAGAATTGTTATCAAGTCCATATTTATGTTGTCAACATTTCTTCCTCGTTTGTTTCTGATTTGCCTGGCTGGTATTGGAGCTCTAGAAGAGAAGGAGGTATGGAGGGTATGGAGTTGCTTTTAACAAATCGTTGATATGAAGTAGAAATATTGTTGGAGCTAGAATTGATCCTTGCAGAACAATAGCATTTATGATGAAACTCCGTCGACCACTACATGAAGAGACCTATTTGAGAAAAAACTAACTAGCATAGCCGTGAGGCAAGCCATATATGATGGAGCCTTGGCGAGAAGTCCGTAGTGCCAGACTCGATCGAATGCCTAGGAGATATCAAGTGCCACGACTAAGGTTTCACCATAGTTTTCAATAGATTGCTGCCATATATGTGAGACGTAAGCGAGCAGGTCACCAGTTGATCTCTGATGACGGAAGCCATATTGCCTATCGTTAATAATACCTGAATGTTACATCGGATATTGAATTAACCTGTATATCTGAGAATATTTCCTTACAGAACTGTCATATCCTATAATACTTCTATCTCTCTATGATTTCTATATCATTCCACTCTGCGTTATGTTCTCCTATTTCAGTAAGGATACTAGTTTTGTTGTAGATATATCTCTGTTTCCACTTGGTGTAAATAACTATTACAGTTACTTCAATCATAAAACGAATGAGGGATGACAAATAATTATCTTGCAGTAGGAAACAATCGAGCAATAGTCAAAACATCAAACAATCGCGATAAATAAACTGATTAAGCGGTATTGACAATCACCGCTTCGGTTCTCGCTACAAAATTGAATCTGCCTTAATGCGTATAATCATTGGGAAATTCGAATGCTGATTGATCAGCAAAGTACGTTCATTTCGACGGTCTGTTAATAATCTAGTTAAAGCGTTGATTCATATAAAATAAAGTGGAACATTTCCTGTGACTCTCTCTGAACGAGAAATTGATGAGGTAGATAATATAAACTGTATACTTCTAACGAAGAAGTGAAACTTTCATCGGTATATCAACTAATAACTAACAATTCAGACTTGGAACTGACTTGTAAATAAATTTTCACTCGCAACTTTGAATTTTGATTTGTATTGCATAATAATGACGTGTAATTCAGAATGCAGACCTGTAGCCTGAAATTTTGAACTTGTAACGCGAATTGTAAATCTTCTACAGATCCAGACTCGCAAGTATAAGACATTCAACCTCCAGCTTAGGGTTATTACTCGAATAACTTCATAACTTGGAATTTCTACTACTTGTGATGCTGAATAATGACTTGTAACATGGAATTGAGACAATACGATATTCAACTTGGTATCATATACATTCAACTGAGAAAAATCTTCAAAGTCTCAGACAGACTATATGAGATACTACTGGGTATACATAAGGCAATGCACAAAAGATCAAAGGCATATGTCAGCCTAAACAAAAACAAACTGCGTTCGGCACCAAAACATACGCTGATGCTCTTAGATTCCATCCAGAGAAGAGCCATTCACCTGGTGGGTGACGCCACACTCACTCACTCTTTGACATCATTGGAACACCGTAGAAAGGTCGGCGACCTTTCACTTTTCTATCGATACTTCCACGGGAAATGTGCTTCGGAAATCTCTGCTATCATCCCTTCACTAGTAATACCAATCAGACGAGCTAGACAAGCCCAGTCAGCACATCCTTTCGTTGTCAACCTCGAAAGATGTCGAACAGCACTTTATCCAGACTCTTTCATCCATAGAACGGTTAGGCTCTGGAATTCATTGCCTGTGGAAGTATTCCCAACAACATATAATCTCCAAAAGTTCAAAAAAAATTCCAATGCCTACCTCCTGTCCCTATCCTTCCTAGGATCGCACGATGTTCTTTGAAAATTATAGGGATTCCCTTTCGTGCGCTCCAAGCGATAAAAAAAACGGTTGTCCTAACAGATGAAACCAAGAGACCTCTTCCAGTAAGGACGAAGAAACATAAGTACGATATAAAAAAAAACACATCGACAAATCGAAACTTCCTTAACATATCCTTACTGAAGATAAACTGCATATGGCAGAGTGGAATAATATTGAAATCATTGCAGCAGAAGATAACAACCAGAAGACAAAAATCAAGAATTCTGCTTGCATTCTTCTGAACAGAGACAATAGCATTGCTCTGTTCAGTTGATATAGATAGAAAATAATATTCACTACTGAAATACTGAAATCTGAAAATGAAAATGGTAAATTCAAGATTAATTAATGAAAACATCCTGTAACTCATTTGATTGCTAACGTCACCAATTTTCACTGAAAACTGAAATGAAGGGTGAAAATCTGATAGGAAAATTCTTCAAACGCAGTGACATTTTTGAACAATTCATCGGATTTGTCCCTACTACACGTACCTATATTGAAATGATATTCATATTTTTATTTCATAGAAACGAGGAGAGAAAATCCCAACTCACTATAGTTACATACTTGGAATTTCGACTTTCAACTAGAAATCGTGACTTGGAATTCCTACCTTCAACTCATTTCTACCTCGCAAATTCAGACAAGGAATTTTGATGAAATTATGACTCGTGATGTCAAACACACACCATATTATGTATACAATAATCCATCGCAACATTATTGGAACAGTGTACTTTTGCACTAAC